CCCCAAAACCCCAAAACCCCAAAACCCCAAAACCCCTCAAAAACTCTATAAATTTAAACTTTCACAAAGTATTAAAATGGATTCTTCAACCATTAAATTGAACGTAACTCACTCAGCAAGTAGCATGAGGTTCCAAGAACTTAGGTTCGACATGAACCAGACCATTCTCAGCATTAAGCAGTCATTAGAAATGAGGTAAGAATCCTAACCAGGCTGAAAGCCGGGTTATAAAGCTTTACTTCCGTTGTCCGGCAGATATGCTTTTGAATTCACTGATTCTCAAAACTTTCCTTGATCTAATCCTTCATAGACTCGGTTCAACCTCAGATGGAATGTCTCTTCAACTTAAAAACACTAGTGATGAGGTAGTCGCTGAGATGGGTAATGATGAAGCTCTGCTAGGTCATTATGGCCCAGCAGAATACTACACCATTCATGTAGTAGACTCAAATCCTGGCATTGATTTCTCTGAATTTGAAGATGTCTCTAAAGTTGAGAAATACAAAATCTCTGATGAAGATTACGACAAAAGAGATGATACCTTCAAGAAGTTCAAAGAGAAGATGATCAAGAAGGACCCTAACTTTATAACCAAGAATAAGAGAAAAATTGAAGATGACTACCAAGAAGAAGAAGCCAAGGCTATCGAAACTGGAGCTAGATGAGAAGTTATTGTTGGTGAAAGAAGAGGAGAAGTTAAATACGTGGGGAAGATTCCAGAACTCGCCAATGGCTATTGGGTCGGTATCGAGCTTGATGAACCAACCGGTGACTCCAATGGAACTATTAGTACAACTGAATATTTCTCATGTGGGGATAAATACGGACTTTTTGTCAGACCTCTGGACATGAAAGTTGGTGATTACCCTCCAATTGACATCTTTGATGAAGAGAATGATGAAATTTAATTGCATAATCATTTAACTCACACCATGTTAAATCACGCAAAATGGTATTCAAGCTAGCGTGATGTAATAGGGGTTTTGGGGTTTTGGGGTTTTGGGGTTTTGGGGTTTTGGGGTTTTGGGG